GCACACAATTCCCTGCGTCCCGGACTACATTTCTGAAGCTAAAAACTAGGTCTGTTTTCGATAGGCTAGAATCCATACGCACGGATATGGATAGTGAGAAGCTGTGCCAAATAGATGAATATGATCTGCAAGGACTGTTGCAATCGTTGACTGTACTGGAATCTAATTTTGCTGTGGCGCATAACAGCTTAGAGGAAATGGATTTTGAGTCCATGTCCAGTGAAGTACCTGCCAAATTCGACTCGTCCATATTATCCCTGCGGACCATTCTTCAGCGCGAGTTTGGAAGTCGGTCCAGCACCAAGCACTGTTCGACAATAAACCCCAACTCAAGTGCATCCCAATAAATCGTCGTTATGGCCAATCGATCTCGGTTGCCTCAGCTGGAGCTGCCAAAATTTAGTGGAATTTACACGGAGTGGGCCAATTTCTTCTCAAAGTTCACCGCGATCATTGACAAGAAGTCCGAGCTGACCCCTATCGAAAAGCTGCAGCATCTACGTTCCTGTTTGAGTGGCGCAGCCCTCAATACCATCAGCTCGTTGGAGATAAATGAGGCTAATTATATCGTGGCAATATATATTTAAAAGCGTCGCTTTGATAATAATAAGCGTTTTATTTTGCAGGCACACATCATAGGGATATTTGGGTTGGAGAAGGCTGACGCATCGGTGGGCAAGCTGAGGGAACTGACAGAGTCACCTCACATATTCGAGCAATGGAATCGCTGACAAGTAAGGAAGAAGTAGCAGGCTGTATTCGTGTACAAACAGTACTTCAGAAGTTGGAAAAGGCCACTCAGAACAGGTGGGAGGAAACTCCGTTGAATCAGGAGCTGCTTTCGTGGGAAAAATTGTCGGGATTTTTGGGAAAAAGATGTCGATCACGTTAAATGCGGATCAATCGACGCAAGTGCAAAATCAGTTTAGCTAGTCAGGAAAAACCGTGAGTACGCATCATAGAAAATCTTTCGTCGCATCGAGCGCCCGCGGTTCTTGTTTGTTATGCGAGGGCACTAACCATATGATTGCCAATTGCCAATGGCTTACACTTCTGTCGCCTCTGTCGTCATGTGGAAGCAAAGCGGCTCTTATTATGCCTTAATTGCCTACGAAAGGGCCATCACATGAAGGATTGTAAATCCGGTTCCTGCCGCACTTGCCGATCGAAGCACCACACGCTTTTGCATTTAATTCTTTCAACTGAGACTATTCAATCTGTTTGTACGAATAAAGCCTCGCAATAACAACCAAGTCATACTGCTATGGTTGCCATGTCGTCCTCATTGCCCCAAGCCCTAATATCCCACAGTCCTTCTGATGCTGTGCTATTAGCCATCGTA